TCCTGCAGTGCAGAGGTTAGGAGTTGGTATGTGCTCGGGGAATAAAGAAGGAGCCATGGGCAAGTCCTCTGACTCCATGTCCCGTGTTCTTTCCTCTTTGGCAGCCTCATACTGATGTTTTTTTCTCCCAACAGGAGGAAATGGTATCAAGCTCATCATGGAGTTTCTGCCTTCTGGAAGCCTTAAGGAATATCTTCCAAAGAATAAGAACAAAATTAACCTTAAACAGCAGCTAAAATATGCTGTTCAGATTTGTAAGGTAAAAAAAGAAAGCGTGTTTAAAAAAAAAAAAAAGCAGGCATTCTTCCCTAGTAAATTTTTTTGTAATTTAATTTTAAGACAAGTGGGAAACTTTGTAATAATTATACTGAGTTATTTTGCTCTGTATTATTGGGATGAGAAATGAGCTTTTACTCTGAAAGTGAACAGATGTATTAAGTGTGACTGCTTGAATGTGAATTTCTTTGAGTCAATTGATCTTACTATTTTTGCTTAAAAATACAAATCAAAAAATTGTTATGTGAATGAAATGACATTTCTTTTTCTTATGAAGTTATACAAAATCCATCTGAATGATTTTAACAACGTGTTTTATCTTTATTTCTCTACTAGGGAATGGACTATTTGGGTTCTCGGCAATATGTTCACCGGGACTTAGCAGCAAGAAATGTCCTTGTTGAGAGTGAACACCAAGTGAAAATTGGAGACTTTGGTTTAACCAAAGCAATTGAAACTGATAAGGAGTACTACACCGTCAAAGATGATCGGGACAGCCCTGTGTTTTGGTAACTGAGTCAGACAATTAGAGTGCAGTAGTGATGCAGGGTTTACACCATTTTAAGTTCTTTCTGGCTATGCTAATGCCTCATTCCTCTGGCCTGAATCAAGAGAGGATTAGAACAGTTAGAATTGATTTATATTTACCTTCAAGAAACACCAGTCAGGCTGAAAAGCAGCCTGTGCAAATGCCTGAGCTTGGATGGCACCATCTTCCAAGGAATGGGAGCCGTCTCATTACCAGCTCAGCATTTCCGGCTCCCATCTGCACAGTTCTCACAACTATGAGCAGGTGGAGGGATGCCTGGAGGGCAGGTGGGAAGAAGGGACAAGATGTGACAAGGTGGGCATCGAGTAGTCAGGGAAATCCTGGACAGAGCAAGTGATGGGAGGGACGCTTGACCATCTCTCATGAGGCACCAGTCATCCTGGTTAGAAGGCCACATACTGACCACAGCCCCCCTCAGTTGCTTTGATCTCTACACCATCCCCTGTAAGACTGATCAACACTCAGGTGTGCTGCACAGATACAGGCAGACCTCTCACACCTGCAAAACCTGAACCTTTGCTCACTAATACAAAACAGTATGTCTCAGGGCCCACCCTTCATGCCAGAGATTTGGAGACCAAGCAGATAGGTACAGAGTGAGGTAGCCAATGTGAAGGAACAGTTAGCACAGAGGGGTTCCAGCTTGGTTTTCTGGAAGTCTTGAGTGTTTAGCTGAAGGGGGCATGTGTGACTAACAGGAATGAGAGAGTACCTGAGATAAACTCAGCATGGGTAAACATGAAGGGGCAGGAGGTTTTCAGAGGGTGGCTAAGTCAGAGCTCTGGAAAGGGAGTTCTGCAGCAAACACTCCATTTCTAGAGCAGTGGGAATACCATTGTAGGATTGAAGGATACAAATTATTTTTTAAGAAGATAACCATGGAGGAAAGCAAGATTGGAGCCAGGGAGTCTGATTTAGCCGTAATGAACTAGGACGGTGATCAAGATAGTGAGAATTAAGTAGATTTGAAGAGTGTTTAGGAAATTAGACATAGAATGCCTTAATATCTGGCTTGGGCAATTGGGTGTCATTCACCAAAACAGATAAAATTAGAAGAGGATAGGCTGGTGAGGTCCCTGCTGATCTAGGAGCCTGTAGGAATCAAACCTGGGGCTTGTTTTCTTGTGACCTCCTCCTCTACAGGAAGTATATGGGTCGGACACAAAGAGTGCAGACTAGTCTTATTTGGGGGCAAATACATGCTACTAAGAACCTGTAAAGTATAGTAGCACATATGTACATAATACATACTAGATGCCTGTAAGGATCGAAGAGGTGACTTTTATGAGCTAATCTGTAATTTTTGTTGAAGTAGCTCTGCCATGAATTGAAGGCTCACATTCTTTATTTCAGGTATGCTCCAGAATGTTTAATTCAGTGTAAATTTTATATTGCCTCTGATGTCTGGTCTTTTGGAGTGACTCTGCATGAGCTGCTTACTTACTGTGATTCAGAGTCTAGTCCAATGGCTGTAAGTCTTAACTTTTCTCTTCATCTGAAAACAGAACCCAACTAAAATATGTCCATGCCTGTGCTTTTTAAGTTTTGCTTTTAAATGGAATTAAGTCAGTATACTATATTGGAAAGATAAAAGTCCACTTTTCTATCTTACTTGGTTTTTTACTTATTTATCTGTGAGTCTCTCAGGTTTGGGTTTCATAAGGAACTCAAAGTTAAACTGGATGATCCGACTTCCCAGGGTCTGTCTTATCTGTGAGAGTTTGTGCCTTGTTAATTTCTAAATGCAATCATCTTCATGAAACAGCCTCCTTGGCTAGCAGAATCTAAGACACTGATTCCAGATTAACTGTTGAGAGCTAGTAAGGATTTTGGATTTTTATTTAACATTGCTTAAGGAGAAAAACATTTTTATTGTTACTTTAATTTCCAGTTAATTCTACAAGTTGTACTTTAATCTGCTTAATTTTTATACGAGTGTATGCAAAGTAAACATTTTGTTTGGTTTTATTTTACATAGTTGTTCCTGAAAATGATAGGCCCAACTCAAGGCCAGATGACGGTAACAAGACTTGTGAATACGCTGAAAGAAGGAAAACGTTTACCATGCCCGCCTAACTGTCCTGATAAGGTATTTATCTTTCCATAGCTCAAGATATCCAGCAAGGAAGTGAGGAGATGGAGTAGAAACCACCTGTAAAATAGTTTTCTGAGTCTGAGACATCTAAGGAATCATCTTTGGTGTGGATGATAGTAATGTTCAATGCAAGTACTCTCCAGAAAGAGGCTCCTTTCCATGCTTGTCCACACACACCCGCCCCCCAAGGAAGTTTTGGTGTAGCCTTATTATGAAAAATATATATAATTGTACGTTTGTGTGTAATTTTATCCCACTTAATAACAGCATTTATAATGTTTATTCTGTTTTTAATACTCTAAAATTAATTGAGGCTTTCAGTCTCAACTCCTTAGACCACTTAGATACACTGGATAGAATAAGTCCAAG